AACAATAAAAAATACATTGCTACAAATTGTGAATTTTATACACAATTGATTTTTTTTTAATTATCGAAATGAGAGCAACAATTTGAACGCAAATGAAATTTGTATCACTGAAAAGCTATTTTTTAAACATTAATATAGTATAAAAAATAATTTTAGTAACACAACACTTTCGAAATATATTACAAAAAAAAAAACCGCGAAATCTTACTTAATTTTTAATGTTAAAAATTTAAATTAACTTTTGGGCCTTTTAAAGTTAACAATGATCTGTCACTTCTTTTAAAAATATTTACAGAAACAAAAAGAAATTTCTTCAAAGTCTCACCTTTGCCTAGCGACGAAGTATCTATAAAAATGTTTTATTTCAAAATCGTCTGCAAGTGATCAATTTTTTAAAAAAATTAAAAAATAATAAAATTTGAAGGAAACATTGCACGGAAATAAAATTGGTATCATTGAAAAGGTAAAATAATTTTAAAGTTTAAGATGGCATAAAAATATTTTTTGTCGGACAATTTGCTCCGAAGTTGCTGTGGAAAAACGGTTTCGGTTAATTTCCAATTAACTGACAGTTTAATTAACTTTTAGACTATGAAAAGTTCATAAGTGTCTTCCCCTTGTCTTAAATAATAAGTGTGCAGAATTTGGTTGAAAACAGTCCATTAGTTTAAGAGGAGATGTGGAACACAGCCACATAGCCACAATGATTTTTATTTATATTAAGATTTATTTCTTCGAAGAAGACGCAGGTAAAGATGAAAGGAGATAATAATTGCAGCAATTTTTTAATCTAATTAAATAAGCTTTACGCATCTTTCAGAACCAATAAAAAGCGTTTCCAAACAATATTTTAAAAAATAAAACAGAAATACCATACGATTTATTGTTTGGTATTTCTATTGGCAGAGTAATTGAAAGGCGCACCGTTGCTTAGCAACGAAGTATCATTAAGTTTGCTTTATTTAAGAATCGTCTGCTGTAATAATTTATTTATTAAATTCTGAAAAATTAATAAAAGTTGAAGGAAACATTTCACAGATATAAAATTGGTATCAGTGAAAAGGTAAAATATTGAACTTTAAGATGGTATACAAATATTTTTGGGGGGATAATTTGCTCCGAAGTTAATACGGAAAAACGGTTTCGGTTAATTTCTAATTAACTGACTGCTTAATTGACTTTCGGATTTCGAAAAGTTGACAATAATCTTCCTCTTGTCTTGAATAATAACAGGGTTCCCACTCATATTGAAGAAAAAAATTCAAGGACTTTTTAAGAAAATTCAAGGACCATAAAATTACACATTGTAGAAATTGTACATAACTGAATTTTTCACTTGAAAGACTGTAAAACGTGTCTATACACTTGATATTTCAGTTATTCTGATTTTACAGGAATCAAACTACAAATTAAAATAATATAAAAATAATAATAAAAATAAGTTATAAAAAATTTCAAAAGCGACCATGATTTTATATATATATATATATATATATATATATATATATATATATATATATTTGATGTCAATAGGACAAGAGACAGTGTAGAAGCAATAATGAATAACAATAGAATCTTAACTGAAAACTTGAAATATATTGAGATAAAATCAAAAATCCTATCTAATTTATCTTGAATATCCATAAGTCAATCTCAATTGAACACTAAAGAAATTTACAATTAATAACTATTTTATGATTCTTGGAACAGATCTTTTATAAACCTTTAAGATGCCATTTTAGTAATTCAATCACAATGTAACAATGATTCAAATAGAATAAAAACTATATTTTTAAATCAAAATTAATTTTATTTTTGACCTTCTAAAGAGACAATCAAAAGTAGCTATCAATACATGATTGATTAAAATTTTAAACAGTTGAAATAAATAAAAATAAGTCACTGATATTTTCAAGTCTAAGCAGTGAAATTAACTCTCCATACTGAAAGGTCAGAAGCGTAATGTGCAACAAACCTACGGTTCGAGAACGTCCCACTCTCTCTGTAAAAATTTCCACCTTGAGGGAAAGGGATATTTCCTAGAACTGTTAGGGAAAGTTCACTGTAATCCTCGAAACTGGCCATTAGCATTTCAACCCCCAACCAATTTCTTTCAAATAAAACCCCTTAAGATTGTCGGCCCTCATTGCTGTGTTTGAGGAGGGGGGGTGGCAGGGTGCTCTGAGTATCCTTCGAATCAGGCAGTTAAAGCCCCCATTTACAAGAGAGTGCTGTTTGTTTGAAAACCAAGGGATTCCGAAGGTCATGGACGACCCCTCTTGAACTATTTTACTCTGCAGAGGGTAAATGGCGAAGAGAAACACTCAATGGGGGCAGAGATTATAGATTATTGGCAGTGGCCTAAAAATTCAAGGACCTCATTCTTTTTTCAATGACTTTCAAGGACCTAATTTCATCAAAAAATTTTCAAGGACCGTGGGAACCCTGAATAAGTGTGCAAAGTTTGGTTGACGTTGCTGCAGTAGTTTAGAAGGAGATGTGGAACATATCCACATAGATACCCACAATGACTTTTAAGATCATGGAAAAAGTTATTTTCGTTTTGCTTTCTAATTACCGTTTTAACTTTCTTTTTAATTTCACTATTTTTATCCTTCGGGTTCTTTTCTTTTAGCCATTTTAATGGGCCGCAGTGGCCTAGTGGTAACGTCCGAGCTTCGAGGGCTCCTGGCTCGAAACCCGATTCCACAGCCGATCCTCCGTGTAAGGCACCCGTTGCCCGCCAAATCACACGTAGTGGCTAAACGCCCTCCCGCTGGTGTGGTGTGAAAGCTTGGAGAGGGTACCAGCTAAGTGTTGTCTTTGTCATCTGACCGCGGTTCAAAATTACGAGGTCTGTCCCAACAGCCCTCGTGTTGCTTCAAAACAAGACGTTTAATGTAATTAAATTAAACTTTAGACATTTTAATTAAGATAAAATTATAATTTGGTCATGTGCATAGACATTTATTTAAAAACACTTAATATTAAAATGATTATTTTCAATTTATATTTTTGAGTATTGTCAAACAACAAAAGGGAAATTTTAAATAATTATGCATTTCGAATTAATAACTTAATAAAATTGAATAACATTTGCAGTAACGGAAATATTTATTTTCGTTTTACCTTTTAATTTTAGATTTTAAGTCTCTCTTTCAATTTCGCAACCCTTTTAATTTGAGTATCTTTGATTTTAGATATTGAGATTAAGAAAACATGAAAATTTGGCTATACGTAGACATTTAGTTCAAAACACTTAATATTAAAAATCACTTCATGTAAAAAAATATTCGAAAGCAGGGCTGGAAAAAAAATTATTCCGTTTAGCGTTAATTTCAGTTTGCATAAAATTCATATTTTTCAATCTGATTTTACAATATCTTAACAAACGACAAAGCTGACATTTGAAGTACATATGCACTACGAATTAGTAACTTATCCAAGTTAAATAACAATTACAAAAACGAAAAAACTTACTTTCGTTTTGCTTTCTAATTATAGATTTTAAATTTCATTTTAATTTTGACAATCATTATATTTCAGGTGCTTTTGGTGTTAGACATTTTGATTAAGGAAAATTTCACATACGTAGATATTTAGTTCAAAATTTTTAATATTAAAATGTACTATCTCGAAAGCAGGCACAGAATAAGTTCGTTCTTTTTGCATTAATTCCAATTTTTATATATAAATCATATTTTTTTACCTCATCAAACAACAAAAGTGAAATTTTAAATAAACATGTATTACGAATTAGTAACATAACCAAGATGACTAACAATTGAAAACTTATTGCATAAAGCTAAAGTTGTAAAAAATTGTTGTCAAGAATAAAAAACTAAAATTGTTTAAAAATATATAATATTTGTATTCTTTATATTTTATAACTTATATTTTCCTTTTCCCATGAAATTCTTTATTCTCTTTTTCTCGCGCCGATGGAAGCCAGAATATTATCTTTTTCTTACATTGGGTCACTGATACGTTTATTTCCTCACCCTTTTCTGTCGGGAAACCATCTTTTAAATTTTTTCAATAACGATCCTTGTGCTTCGGATGCCAGAGCATAGGCTTGTTTCTGTACATTTCTATTAATTTTAATAAGTTTAGTTCTATCCACTCCATAATTACAAGAGAAACGGCAAAAGAAAATCAAGAAGCACACGCCCTGTCTAAATATGACCTTGCAGGTTCGAAGCAGATTCGCGGGGACGGCGAACAATTCCAACTGTCCCAATTTGAAGAGCGAATCCCTTTGTATTCGCCGGTAAACTGTCAGGATTTGGCTCCCCATCAGCTGTACCCTGACCGTTCGCGACGAGTAATAACACCCGTCTACACCTGCGAGCAGCTGTTTGCTAACTGTTATATTCGTCTTTTGCTCGAAAGTGTGTACGCACCTTAAAATATTGCGACTGTATCTCATATCTGACGAGGCTATCGGAATTCTAGTCTTCACGATACAGCAATGACGAAATTAAGAAAATAATGACTTCGTATGTGTATAAGTATTAAGACAGCAAAAATTCTTCATGCGTAGTGATGACTGTGTTTTTAAAAATCACCGATAGTTGAATGGGTATTAAGACATATCATAAATTAAAACCTTCTATCTTGCAAACGCCGAAAAAAAAAAATGCCAAATCGGATTTACAGTCCGAACATGTGTTTGAAATTTGTGAATATTAAATTAAGGTAGTTTTCTATTAAAGGAGATTCACTGAATTGTGCAAAAAAAAGAAATATTTCAATAAAATGTAATATTTTGTTAATGTTTTGCTATTGAAAAACGTTTTTCAGATCATAAAAGGATTTTGTTTATTATAATATTTTATATAAAAGTATTTTTCACATTAAAACTGTAAGACGTGAAAGTATTTTTATCTTGAGCAATGCTGGGTAAATCAGCTAGTTATCATATAAATTAAAAACGACAGCTCACTATCGTTTCCACACAAACTTAAGCATGCACCAGGATTACATATACGCCGGATCTTCGATGAAACTTGGTATCGAACCCAAAATCTTTCGATCTCAGAAGTCGAAATTCTGCCACTGGCAGATTTCAGCTTCACCTTTTGTCCAAGCAGGTTTCGAACTGCTCTTGATTTAGTAAGAACAATGGATATGGTGCATATACTTGACAGGATTTTCCTGAACTGTCTACTAAAAAAAGTGGCGTAGCGATAGAGAAGGAAGCAAGAAGGTATAAAAGAAAATCCGGGCTTAAATCTTAAGCTGAACATCCACGAGGAGAGTTCTCCAGTCCATTTGGAGCGCATCGCTCCACAACGTTCCAATTTTTCAGCCTATCCATTTAAGTGGGTCAATCATGGAAGCTCCATGCAAACCACACAACCGGTCACTTCAATCACCTAGGGTGCCTCCCCTCCTCCCCCTTTCAAAAAGGGACCCCCGCCCCGCTTTCCCGAGAGAGTTTCACTCCTCCTTCCCCATTTTGTGGTTTTCGGTTTTGAGAGAAAGTCTCGCTACCCCTTTCCCACAATCGTATTTCAGTTTTATGGCCCAACCCGCCGAATGAAAAACAGGGCCGGATTGAAATTCAAACTTTTCGACCATACCGCGCCAATTCTCATTGGATTTTAGCATCGACAGGTTTTGGTGCCAGGCGCTCCGAATCATCTAGAACTGTGTCGCCGTGAATATCCAGCTTTAAGGAGGCCAAGAAGAAAAACAGTAGAAGGGCAATTTAGGGAGACTTGAACTTAGATGATTTTCTCAAATTGAGAGGCAGTTGATAATTTCTTAGTGCCATGTCTGTTTTATCAAATGGTGTATTGAAAGGGATTTCCATTCCAATCTGAAAAACCATTGCAATAGTGTGTAAGAGAATGTGGTTTGAGGGTTTCGAATTCAATTTTTTATTCTTTGGATTCTGACTCTACTCTTGAAGGCATGATGAATCAAAATAATTTCTAAGAATTTAACGTGCCTCAAGCTATCATTTGATACACGATGGTGTGCAAGTACAATTGTTAGGTTATAGTGATAATGTCATGTTAGATCAGTGGCGGCTCGTCCATAAGAACTGCAGTCCTCCTTAAATTATTTTAAAAGATTGCATTCCCTTTTTTTTATTCTAATTGGGTTACATTTCCACTTTGAGAATTCAGTGAGCAACGAAAATGGCAAAAAAGTAATAAAAAATGTAAAAAGAAGACGAAAAATCAATCAAGAATTAAGAGAGAGACAGACCAGAGCTGCATCAAGTTTTGCCCCCCCCCCCTCATTTTATCCGATATCAACGCAAAGAGCAACGCGAAGCGGGAGAAAAGATCCTTTCTCCACTTGAAATTGCATTCATTTGAGCTGCATTTTTCAGCCTCATTTGCGCAACTTCTCATTTGGCTCTTTTCGCTTTTTCTGAGTAGTTCAGTCGTTTTTCTTTTTTTTAAATCAATGTTGAGGAGTTGTAAATTTTTTGCTTTATGTTTTTTAGGGTGCTGATTACGATTCTGAGGTTTGTCACCAATAATTTTTGTTGAAATTTTAGTTTTAGTCAAAAAACATAAAAAAATTACAGGACTATAAAAATATTAATGCTGAATAAACCATACCGATTTTTTAAAATTTTGCAGTTTTTTTACTTTTGTTACTATATAAAACAAAGGGAGTGTTTTCCTTCTAACTTTCTCGTATATTAATACAATATGGGGCGTTTTTCCCTGTAAGAGTCTGTATCCCCGCAGTGAACCCTGCAAGTGAATCACGTGCCGGGATGATGTAACAGAGACATAGCGCATACTGACACAATATGGTGTGTTTTGTGCTTCATAGTATAATGAAGGAAACCGAGTATGCATTTTGGAGCTTTCCTTTGGAAAAATCTGGCCAAAAATTAGAAACAGATTTACACTTTCGTTCACAAGACCATATGCCAAATTTCATTAATCTAACTCGTTCCGTTTTATTGTATTAACATAAATGCCCCCCTGTTCTCATGCATAAGAACGTACAGTCTTCCCTTTGATGGATTTCGTTCAATACTTGACAAAAATCTACAATCGTGACGTGAAGACCAGCAACCAAATGCCATCTGTCTAGCTCTTTGTGTTTTTAAGTTATTGTGTTCACAGATAGACAGACTAAGCATAATTCCAAAAAATTGCGTTTAAGGACTCGTGGAAATTCATCAAAATCTCGACGTTGTATACTACTTTCCTTTTTTATACTTCGTAAATGAGAAAGAAGAAGTTGATAAAAGATATTTGAATGTAGTTTCAGGATTTCATATATTTCTCATTCGAAATCACAGCTACATATTTTCATTTTATTTGCAATTCTTAATTTAAATGGAAAACAGATTTTATTACAGAGCAAAATTGAAATCTTATGCGATGTGTACAATTATTCAATGCTGAGATACTTATATAAAGTGCTGTACAATAAAAGAAGAAATATAAATGCAAAGCATGGAGTAAACATTTTTTTAAAAGATTCACAAAACACATTCACACTGCTGCAGAGAAAAAAAAATCCCTTTTCGGCAAGCTTGATGGCAAAGGTAGATTCCTTTACACTAATTTTACAAAAATAATTAAATATTACATTATTGATCAATACAGACATAGCCAATGACTTTATCGTTTCTACACATTGCAATATTTACGCTGCGATTCTGTGTTTTCATGGCATTTAATTTTTTGCTATATCAAGGTTTTATCAGTCCATTTTTCATTCCAAAAGGTTATGCTAGATTTATTGGTCAGTACATTGGTCATTTTTTTTTATATCCCAACACATAATCATTCAACAGGTATGAATCATAAAGAAATAAACATCCCAGCAGCGCAAATATCCCCTACATGATATTAAGCCAGCCTATCTGAAACAGTAGCAAGAAATTGACGCTTGACACGAAGGAAGAACGACTCTAGATTAGTTTATTTAATATAGGTTACCATATAATTGTGCGAACATTACTTTGTCATATGGTAAAATCATATGACATGAAACATTTAAACATTACTAGAGTGGGCTCATTTAGAGAACTCCCTGGTTACAGAGATAATAGTCACTAAATTCTTAACACATAAGAGAATAAAAATTATTAAACATTATGAGTTCCAAATTTAACACGTGTGTTTAAAGCATAGGATATCAATGCTGCCATTTTGAACAGGAAATTTAAATCTCCATCGACAGTTAAAAGCAAATAATCAGGCAGAAAACCCCAAAACAATTTTAAAGTTAATGAGATATTTTTCAATATAAAAAAAGGATAAAGGGAACTATTATACATCTATCTTTTTTGGCTATTATTAAACAAATCTTGTTGCAGCCATGTTTAGTTAAATATGAAATGAAAGTAATCTGTCAAATTAAGTAATTATCAAATTAACTATTAAAATTAACTGTTTGATTAATTAAAATTAACTGTTTGATTAATTAAAATTAACTATTTACTTAAATAAAATTAAATATTTAGTCAATTGTGACTATATCTTCTCTAAAACCTTTTTTTATGGCTCATAGTATATGCCAACAATTTTAATCTTGTAATGATCTAATAATTATCTTAATTTAAATAAAAGTTATTGTGTCTGTATGTATGCTCCACATCTCCTAAACCACTGGACTGATTTCAACCAGACTTTGCACACTTCTATCTATATTATATAAAACGCTTATGCGTGGCACAAAAAAAGTACCTTTATTTCTTTCTCCCTGTTGGCAACGATCAGTTTGTTTACCTCATTTCGCTAACCGAGCTACTACATCTCAAACAGCTTTATCATCATCATCATCGCTTACGGATTACAGAAGTCGTTACTTTTGTTCTTTTTGAATTTATTTATTCTCTCTTATATAATAAGAATTATAATGAACTCTTTGCGAACTTCTGAATAGCAGCGTGCAAGGGAATCCCTGGATGAAAGAAATGCTGAAAATGTTGCCGATAGGCTTAGACGAGCCAGAGCACGCAGCGATCAACAAATGGCTAATAGGGTGAATTCCCAAGCTGAAACAAACGTTTCCGAGGACGATTGCGGTATGATGACGGAAATATGCAATTTTTGCCAAGCACTTTATTGGCGAAACGAATTGTGATCTCTTCCGATTATCCTATGATGCTATGGAAGAGCAGTCTAAGGCTAATGCAAATATTGAAAAATTAAATTCTGAACAAAGATATGCTGTCTATAAAGTGCTACATGCGATATATGAGTATCAAACTGATTTGCCAAAGTGCTTTTTTCTTGATGGTCCTGCTGGAACAGGCAAAACTTTTGTGTATTCGACTCTATTGCATGCAGTTAGAGGAAAAGGCGATCAAGCCATTGCTGTAGCATCAACTGGGATAGCAGCTACATTCTTAAGTGGAGGCAGAACTGCTCACTCTATTTTTAAAATTCCCCTTACTTACTCTGAATGCCACTTCAGCATGCAATTTGAAACAAACACCTCAGAAGCTAAAATGTTTATTGGATGCTAAGGTAATTGTCTGGGGTGAGTCTCCAATAGACAATGTTCATGCCTTTTTTAGCTGTCGATAGACTTGGAAAAGACCTTACTAAATGTGATGAACCGTTTGGTGGAAAATAATTTTACTAGGTGGAGAGATTTTCGTCAAGTCCTTCCTAGTAATTTTGTTCCTGATCTTTACCATGCTTCAAGCTGCATTGAAAAACATCATAGACTTTGGTCTGATTTTTTCGTTAAGTGAAATTAACTGAAAACATGTGCTTTGGATTCTGAAAAAAGAATTTGCGAGTTGGCTTTTGCTATTGTTGGTGAAGGGTAGAGAGGAAAATTCAGTTGCCTCATTTTGTATATATCCATACGTAACTGAACGTAGCATAA